TCTGCATAAGCAGACACTTTAATCTGCTGAACTATCAGGCCGGCCTAAAAAAAAAATACTTTTGAGCAGTGGTAATTACCCAGAAATGAGGCAAAAAGTAACTATTCCTGATATTAAAAGATATCAGGAATAGAATCTTCTGAAAAGAAAGTATAAAAATAATAACCATGTTGTAGACGCTAAACTATAAACATGTTGGTTATCAAGCTGTGATAGCTTTTTGAATTTAATACATTGCATACTTTGATATTGGGTTCATGTCTTAAAAATTTCACTGTAAAATATGCCCAAGAAGCTATACTTCTTTGTACTGAAGTTCCCAAAACATTATCTCCATGACATTGCTGTTGCATGTGAACTTAGGCATGTGTTAATTAGTGGTCCAATAATACAGCTTAACGATCATATCGGAAGCTTCCTGAGTCATTCTGAAAATACAAGACCCATGGGAGAGGTTCAAGAAGCATGCACGGGCTGCGACTCCTGCACCAGCCTTCCCCCTTTACTTCCCTCATCTACTTTCACTTCTGTTGCAGCTCTTTTGCCAAGATAAGATTGAATATTACCAAAGATCACCATTTTTAATTCAGGAAAAAAAACTTAAAATCATCATCTAGTTGAATCTACTAGTTAGTTCTATGTAGCATGTGAATCTAGGAGCTCAGGACAGAGGGGCTGGCAATTAAAGCACCTGGTTAGGCAGACGCAGGGACTGGGGTTCAATCCCTGGAGTACAATGCTGGCCTCACCCCTGGGGCATGCTGAGATGGCAATTGAGACTGGGTGTGGTGGAGCCCCCCTATAATCCCAGCGCTTGGGAGGCTGAAAACAGGAGGATCACTATGAGTTCAATCTCTGTAGTGAGACCCTGTAGACCCTGTACTAAATATCTTTTTAAAAAGATAGAATGAGAAAGTTTCTGCTGGAATAGAGGGAGAGAGGGCAAGAGGGCGAGAGAGAGAGAGAGAAAGACAGAGACAGAGAGAAAGAGAGACAGAGAGAGAAACAGAGAGAGACAGAGAAATGAATATTTTAAATTTCCTTTATTATATTCATATTAAGTCTACTGCTTAATTTGTATTTATTAAGACCCAATGATTTTGTTGTTTCCATATCTCAGATATGGACTTATTCTACCCTAGACTTATTTTGTTCTTGTAATGAGCACAGCAATTTCGCAGCTGTGAGATCAGTGTTATGAGTCTGTCCCCCACTAAAACGGTAAAGTAAAAATTTGAATGTGAAAATTGATCGTGGAATTCATAGTCTCTTAGTTACTTTCCCATCCTAGTCCAGAATATCCAGTGCCCACAACTTAAAGGAGAAGAGGTCCATCTTGGCTCACTGTGTTAGTCCAGGCTCAGCTGGCTCCAAAGCAGAAGCAGGATGGTAGAGGGAGACAGGGCAGGAAAACTTGCTCATCCCATGACAGCCCAGAAGGAGATAGAGGAGGAGCATGGAGAGGGAGGCTTCCTTCCAGGTCACACCCTAGCGACCTGCCACATCAGACCGGCCTGACCTCCCAACAGCACATTCGGCTAGGGAACTCATCAATGGATGAATGGTCTTCATTCTGGACCAGCAAATAATCAACTCAGGGTGTGGCTCAGAGGCTGAACACTTGCCCACTGCGTGCAAGGCATTGGGTTTGATTTCTAGGTCCACAAAAGTAAAAAATAAAGTGATTGAAGATTTCCTAATACTGATGCCTACCAAAAGTTTTGTAGGAGACTGTTACATCACAGTTCTAAGTGGGGGACTGAAAGCTCATAAGACCTAGTGTTGGACTTTCAACTTTAACAAATTTTCACTTGCAGTATCTTTCCATGTTTAACTCTTAAGACATGGAGAAGAACTTGACAGGCAATCAAATCTTAAAAATAAGGTCCATTGACATCCCAATTCAGAAGATATTTAATGCAGAAGAAAACTCAGAACATGTTTTATGAGGCAGTGAACTTACCTGCTTATTTCATAAAGAATGAGTGAACCTTTACAATGTTCTTAACATTATTCCTCCTGCTGGAGATGACATTAGTGAATATTCAAAACCCTGCTCTTATAGAATTTAGGTTGTGGTGAGGATGAATAATGAACATTTAATCAAATTTAATCAAATAAACAAACAAAAAACATGTCATATATCTCTAAAGTCTTTGAGGACCAGGTTCCACAAAATAATAATAATAATAATAATAATAATAATAATAACAACAACAACAATAATTTCTTTGAGGAAAATAAAACAGGACAAATGGATGAGAACTGTTGCAGGGCTAGGGCTAGGCACCTCCAAGGAGGTGATACATGACTTGATTCCTAACATATGAGAAAGAGCCAAGAATCCAAGAGCCAGGTGTGGACAAACATTTCAAGCAATCACTAGAGTTTCCCTGAATAGAAAAGTGGCCAGTGGGGGGCCGGGGAGATGGCTCAGTGGAATATAGGCTTCCCTGGCAAGCGCAAGGGCCTGAGTTCAATCCCCAGTTCCGCAAAAAAAAAAAAAAAAAGCAAATTTCCAACATGTTTGGGCTGGAGAGATGGCTCAGTGGTCTAAAGCACCTACTTGGAACAAGCTTGGCAAAGCACAGGGACCGCGGTTCAATCCCCCAGCACCACATGCCAGTCAGCCCCGCCCCCTGGTGGGCTGAGCTGGCCACACACACACACACACAATAAATAAATGTAAATAAATAAATAAAATAGAAAAGTGGCCAGTGTGGTTGCAGCAGTGTGAAGGAGTTCTGAAGGATTCTTGGAAATGACACAGTGTAGAATTCACACTTTCAATCATAAATTCATACTTTAAATCATAAAAATGAGATTTCCAATGAGATCATATAATCTCAAAAAATAAGAAAGTTTCTGCAGGAATAAAGAGAGAGAAAGACTTAGTTACATTACAAGACTACATTATAAGACTAACAAATGTAAATCTCATTGTAATCCATCAGAGTTTAAATTTATTATGGGTTCAATAGGAAGGCATTGATAATTCAAAACAAGGAAGTCATAAACTTTAAATTTGACTTAAAACTTGACTTAAACTTTTAAAAAGATGTGTGAACACATAAAGTTTTTCTTCCCAAAGAAGTCAACATGCAGGAAGCAGAAAATAGAAGTTAATAAAAGAGGTTTCTTGTGAAACCCTTAGTGTAGACATTACCCTTAGAAGTTTCTCAATAGGTCAATGACACATTCTGCTTGTATACTGCCAGGAACACTTTTCTAGATGTATCCTCTACAATAAAGTAGTAATTTACTTTCTGCAACTTATTATTAAAACTTCTCATGAGTCTTTTTTTTTTAAGAAAAAAATATAAATAACAAAACTATAATGTAATTTTGTAAGTCTGAACTTTATTCAGAGTGGTGAAAAGAATCAATCATGATGTGTAAATATTTTAGGAGTATTTGGGAGTGTGGTGGCATTTATAAACCATAATAGATTAACCAAGATAAGTTGACTGTGCATCCACCCAGTTATTGCTTCAAATAAAGACAAAACAAGAGGAAAACCTCTCTGATTCGAATGTGATAAGTTGTTAACAATGGATCCATCTGAAGAAGTAATCAAAAAAAATATTTACTACCTCTGTAGAATGTATCGTGGCAAGAGATGAACCCTACTTGATTTTTTTGTTAGTTTTTGTAATGATCAAGGAATTAATATAGAATTATATGTCAGTGCCTGTTTTGACCTTTAATGGTCTATGATTTATAAGCCTTTATAAGCTTGCTTTAAACATTTGGAAATCATCTGAGAGGAGACATTCTGATGCATGGAAATGAGGAAATCTAACTTGTACTCAACACATTTATTCCTTTCAAAAATCTCTGTGAATTAGGTGTTATTTGTATTTTCCAAAGACAATGTGAGACTCTGAATAATTTAAATTGTTTGTGTGAGTTCACTAGCTAGTAATCGGCAAAGGCAGCATTTGAATCCAGATTCCAATTCCAAGGCTGAGAATCAATGTTTTTCAACAGCCTCATCTTTGGAACAGCAAAGTTCCAGTGATTACAGAAACTTAGTTCTTTAATTTTTGTGCATTAAACATTCTATTACTGTTATTGATTCTTATCACCTGGTTGGTAGAACTTTTGCTTTGAGAGAGAGAAAAGAAAACGTACAGCTAGCTAAAGAAGGATTTCTCTAATTGGAAACTTGCAAAAACTCTAGTTACATCTCTTGCCAAATTTCATGCCTGAAATTTCACCTGTGTTTTGGGACATGTGAAACATCAGCATGAGCTTTGTTAGGCTTTCTTTTTCCAAGGATAAGACAGACGAATACCTAAGAAGGTTGGGAAATAAAAAACAAGGAAGATGTTAGGACATAAACAGATGTCCCCTGTCTTGCAGTAGACTCTAAATTGGCCTCCATATGCTTTTAAAATTTTGCAAAAGAGTTTATCATTGAGTCATGGAAAATTCAGATACTTAAAGACATGACATTCTACTAATCTATGAGCCTCTTTTTATACAGCCTCTTTTCTTACTTACATGAAATCTACAGATGTATTCTTTAACAGAGTCTGAGCACAGATAGTTGACAAAAAGCTCAGCTACTGATTCCAGCAAGTTAATCAAAGGCACATTTCTACAAGGGCCTTGCTGTAGCACACATGAAGCTGTTGCAATCCTGACACAAGTGCACGTGAAATCTGTGCTAGACAAGCAGGTCCAAATAGTGCAATCTAAATGAAACAAGAGGAGAAAGCCCAGTATCTTGTCCTGGTTCTGCTACTCATTGCATCTTAACTTATGATAAGGTATTCAACTTCTAAACCAGTATCTTCTTATATATTACAAGACTGTGTTATTACTTACATTCCAACTATGATATTATATGATATCATTATTCTATATCTTAAGTATCCTTCTTGTAAAATGTAATAGGACACAGGAATGGTGCTTATTTCCTTAGTGATCAGCTTGCATAAATTGGTTAAGATCTCTGATTAGAGACCTTGGGAATAATCCTATAACTCTTTCAGGATTATCTGGGAGCTTGCATCGTCCTTACAGCATCCATTGCTTCCATCAGTGGCTCTTCCAGCTCTGGATTGGTGGGTTTGGGGCTTCTCTATGCACTTACGGTAAGAATGGATGAAAATCACCACATAAATATATGAATACATGAATATATTTGTTATGTACCACAAACACATAGTGATTAAAATATTTAAAAAGAAAAATGTAGCATCCCTCTCTTTCTATACACTGTTGAAGAAACTTGCTATCAACTCTTATGAATGCTAAAAAAGTTTGATTGTGTAACTAGGCAACATCTTGAGACTAATAGATTTAACCCCAACTTTTACATTTTTGGATAGCTTAGATTCATTTCTGACCTGCCAAGACAACTGTTTAAATACTTCCCAAATCCCACAGCATAAAGCCCTCCCTGAGATCGCCACCCTGATTTGTTCATGATCCTCTTGGGGACAGTAAAGTAAGTGTAAATGTGACTGCGTCCACATAGAAGTGTTATCCTGGGAATTATAAGAGAAAAGTTCATAAAACAGTGACTTGAGAAAGCCCTGGAAGAAGAATGGACGCCTTGGTCAATGCAGCTCATGACATTCCGCCTGGTCCCTGATACTCAGGAACACTTGGAAGTTGTTCCACATAATGAATGCTAATCATATAAGCCATCTCATCCTCAAATATACAGTGCTTATGAAAGTCTCTTCATCTGATTTTGAACATGCTCAATGTTTTTGTCACCTGCCGTAGATAACCAACTATTTGAATTGGGTTGTGAGGAACTTGGCTGACCTGGAGGTCCAGATGGGTGCAGTGAAGAAAGTTAACAGCTTCTTGACCATGGAGTCTGAGAACTATGAAGGCACCATAGGTATTGTTAAGAATATATTCTGCTTCGCTTACATATTTGCTTTAAAAATATTACTCTCATCTCAGGCACAGTGTTGATTTGATTTTGTTTTCCACTTTAACATCCATCTTGCCCTGATTTTGCTGGATTTTCAACACCTGAAAGTGTATTGCTATTGTAGGCCTGAAAAGTCTTAGACAAACAATTAGAGTCCAAGTAGACATTACTTAATAATATTTTAAGAGAGTTATAAAAGTATTTGAGCTCTATTACTTTAACTGGTGACATAAATTGTGTACCGTTGTATTTTCTTTTTGAAGATCTGTTAATTTAGATTTCAGGAAGTTTGGTTCTTATGCATGCCTGTCATGCCAGCACACTAGGAAGCTGAAGCAGAAGGATCACAAGTGAAAACTCACCTAGGCAACTTAGCAAGACCATGTCTCAGAATAAAAAGAGAGCTAAGGATGTAGCCCTGTGTGCAGACCCTGAATGACAACCTCAGTGAGAGAGAGAGAGAGAGAGAGAGAGAGAGAGAGAGAGAGAGAGAGAGAGAGAGAGAGATTTTAAAATATGAAACAAGATTCGCAACTCTACTAGAGTAAAAGTGGCAGGACATTCATTACTGAAGATAGAATAATCTTCATTACATAGAAATCTCAAACTTAAAATGCACATATTTGCCTAAAGCCTACAACAGCTTTCTAGCTGCTCAAGGACAAAATCCAGACAACACAGCTAAGACCAAGAGACCCTTCGTTAGTGAACCCTTGCCCATCTGCCTGTTCACTTGCCATCCACGTTCCCGTCTCTCACTCTGGCCACATGAAGATCTTACACCTTCTCATCTTTTTTTCTTCTCTTCAGTAAGTACAAAACACATTTTTTAGATTCAGTTCAGGCATCTCCTCTTTTGAGGATGCTTCTGGAACCAATAGGTTACCACACCATGGCCCTAAAGGCATCTTGGGCTGACCTCCACCTTGCAGTGCTGTGGATGCTGATTCACTTGTATCCTCCCAAGGACACATAAGGCACCTTGAGCCATGTCATTGATCTCCACAAGCCAAGAAAATGGCACATGTGAAGCACTTGATGTTTGATTTTGTCAATAATTTCCAATTTCATTGCACTGTGGTCAGATAATATGCATAAGATAATTTCAATCCCTTTACATTTATTTAAGAATATTCAATATGCTAGTATATGGTCTATTTTGGAGAACATCCTGTGTGCATCTCAGAAGAATGTGTGTTTTGATTTTGTTGGGGAGAACACTTTGTAAAGGTCTACCAAGTCCCCATATTCAAATATTTGGCTTAGTTCTGTTATTTCTTTGAGAATTTAGTTTGCCTAATTGATCTATTTCTGTGTGACAAGGGGGCATCAAAGTCCCTGTACAATTATGTTATTGCTCATTTGCCTTTTCATGCCTGTTAAAATTTGTCTTATATAGTTGGGCACTCCTGTGTTTGGTGCACATATATTTATTATTGTTATCTCTTGCTCTTTCAGTTTTCCCTTAATAAGCATACAGGCCCTTCTTTACCTCTTTTGATCATTCTTGGTTTGAATTTCACATTGCCTGCAGGCAGTATAGCTACCTCTGTTTTTCTCTGGGTTCCTGTCACATGGAGTATTGTGTTCCACACTTTGACTGGCAGTCTATAAATTTCTTTTTGAGTTAAATTTGTTCTTGTTGGACTTGATCCACTTTGAAAGTCTATTTCTTCTTATTGGTGAATTGAGATAATTTAGATTAATGGTTATAGCTCATATGTATTGGCTTCTTTTTGTCATATTATTTTCCAGTTGTTGGTTTCCTATTTTTCCCCTTTGTTTAATTGCTTGCTCTTGCTTGGTGGTTCCTTTTTATTGTTCTTGAAGTTGTGGTCATTTTTATCTGCTCCTAGAATATCCTTCAGTAATCCTTGTAGGGTTACTTTGGTGGTCATGATCATCTTCAATTGTTCTTTGTCATGGAAGTATCTTATTTCTTCACTGATTTTGAAAAATAGTTTTGCAGGCTACATCAGTCTAGGCTGGAAGTTATTTTCTTTCAGGATCTGAAATACTTCATTCCAAGCTCTACTTGATTTGATGGTTTGTGTTAAGAAATCTTCTGTGCTTCCAATGAACTTTCCTTTATCAATTACCAGTTTCTTTTCTCTAACCACTTTTTGTTTTTATTCATATTATTGATAAACAAATAGCAATGAGACAACTTCAAAACAGGTTAGTAGGATAGTTAAATAATTAATACATCGCATATTGTTGTCTTTGTACTAGTTATTCATAGTACAAGATGCAGACATGATATCCTGTCCAAACACTCTTAGTACAAATCTTTCTTCTCATTGAATTAAGAGAAAGTAATTGTACATCTATCCTAACTATTTTGTATATACAGATACAAAATGGCCCTTCTTTTATCTCTAACCACTTTTAATATTGTTTTCTTTTGCTGAATTTCTGGGCTCTTGATTATTATGTCTGAGTGTAGATTTATTTTGGTTATGGTTATTTGGAGTTCTATATGCCTCACTTACTTGTATGTCAGATTCTTTTGAAATGCTGGGGAAATTTTCTTCCACTACTTCTGAAAAATAGTCTTTTTAGGTCACTTATGTTGACTCCAGATGTTTCATTGACACCTATCACATCAGTCTTTTTTTTTTTTTTTTTTTTTGAGACAAAGTCTTGATATGTAGTTCAGGCTGGTCTTGAGATCACTTTGTTGGATCTCAAATTCACAACCATCCTCTTGCCTCAGCATACTGATTGCTGGGATTACAGGCATGTGCCACCATGACCAGCTAAAGTCTGTCAGTCTTAGATGGTTTTTCTTTGCATCACATTGCAGCTATTGAATTATTACTTCCTGGTTCGGTGTTATTTTTAAGAAATCTTTCCTTTCATGATCACTAACTACAAAGCTGTCTTCAAAGTCCGAAAGTCTACCTTCAGTTTTGTTCAAATGGTTTTGCCAGATTTCCGTGGAATTCCTAATTTCCTAGGTATCTGTTTTATGCATTCTAATTCTTTTCTGTACTTTTGACTCAATGTTTCCACATTTTTCTATTCTCCTGTTTTTTAAATCTATGTCTTTAGATGTGCTGAGCAGTTTTTTCATTACTGTTGTCATTTCTTTTTGTACCTGAGAGATTATTTGTCATTTGATTGCTTTTGTAGCCCCTGATAAAGTTCTTTACTTTAGTTGCTGTCATTTCAGAAATTTCAGGTTTGTGACTTCCAGGTTCTTCCATTTCCTTGTCTCTTGGATGTGTTCTGGGTGAGCTGGAGGTCTGAGAATGCCTTTTTCTCCTTCATTTTGACATTTTTGAAGCTCCTGAAGTTCACCAAAGCTCAATGCAGCTCAAGCAACAGTGAGTGTTGGGGCGCAGGTCAGTAAGGCTCTCAAAGCTGTCCAGAACTCAGCCTCATTCCACAATGTGGGTGGTGTGGCTTAGCTAAGCTCCTGAAGTTTTCTGGGACTCAGCCTGGCTTCTGAGACATTGGGGGGAGGGAAGGGGGAGCTAGTACTTAATGTTTGATGATCAACTAACTAAACAGATAAATCAAATCACAGATGAACTATCTGTACCCATCTTGCATAGAATTGAATGTGGACTATAGCAAAGACACAGACCTGGCTAATGATACAAAATAAAACACAGGAAAAACACATGAAGTTCTTAATCAAGATGTGCTCACTTTGTCATTTAAATTAAACAAACAAACCACCACTAAGAAGATTGGTTCAATATTACTTTAAGTTTAGGGAAATTTTAAAATATATTTACATTATTATAAATTTATACTTATATGTGCATAAATATATGTTTCTTTCTACATATATCTCTCCACCTATTTTTTTCTTGTATTTTTAGGGAAGGGTCTACAGGGTGTTCAAGGTCTCACTACTAGCTCAGACTTGTAGTGATCTGCCTGTTTACAGCCTTCCTAGAGCTGGGGTTACAGGCGTGTGTCACCATGCCCAGTCTCAATTGCCATCTCAGCACACCCTGGGGGCAGGGCTGGCATGGCAGGCCTGGGGATCGAATCCCAGCCCCTGCACCTGCTTGCAGGCACTTTAATATCCACGTATTTTCTATCATCTATCTATCTGTCTATCTATCCATCTGTAATCTATCAATCATCTATTATCTGTTCCAAACCCCATCCCCCAGATCCTTCTCAGGTTCCAGAACATTGGCCACAGGAAGGAGAGATCAAGATTCATGATCTTTGTGTAAGATATGAAAATAATCTGAAGCCTGTTCTTAAACATGTCAAGGCTTACATCAAACCTGGGCAGAAGGTATGGTTTTACTACTGTCTGATTTGTTTTATACATAAAAGCTTCACTAAGGCTGGGGAGATAGCTCAGTGGAATAAGTGCTTGCCTGGCAAGTGCAAGGTCCTGAGTTCCATCCCTGGTACCATAAAAAGAAAAAAAGCTTCACTGGCATTCACTGTCACCACATAAGCTCTTCAAACTTCCAAGTCAAGTGTATTCTCACTGAGTTCACATAATATTCCCTGCACAGTACAGGAAAAAGTATCGGCATAAAAAAGCTAAAAAGGAGACATAATTATAGTGCAGTACATGTTCTATAGATCATATTACCATTCGCTAATCTCCATGCATCTCAGAAAAGTCTGCAACAGATGTGTAGCTTAAAATTTCTGGCTTTTGGCTTGGGACCATCGCAGACACTTCCTTGGGAACCTTTTCCTCCATTCTAGCTCTAATCCTAAAGTGACTTTTTTTAGTACTTGTAAAAAGAAAAAGTTTACATTTAAAAAATGGACCCATTCTACTTTTTGTTATAAATCTATCATAATTAAGACAAATAGATACACACCTATAATATTCAAATAACGGAACTTAGAAAAAAAGGGGTATACAGATGAATGTTCATTTTGTATCTGTGTATTCAAAGTGGTTAGGATAAATATATAGTTACATTCTCTTAATGAATAGAATGATTTGTTCTAATGGTGTTTGTAAATAGGATCTCAAGTCCGCATCTTGTACAGCAATTAACCACTAGGAAGAATGTATGCAATGTGTTAATTATTGAAACTGTCCTACCGATTTGATTTGAAACTGTCTCATTGCTGTTTATCAATAAAATTATGAAAAAAAAGACAAATAGAATGGGTATTTTTTTAGTCAAACCCATGCCAAAAATTAAGCAATACAGGTAAAACAACACAATCAAATAGAATACAAGTCATTGAGGATTTGGCAAACACTTCGTATTTTACTTTTAATAATTACAATTCATAAGATCTAAGAAGAACATGAATTCCTAGTATAATCATTGAAATAGAATTGTGCTTTATCATGATAGCTGGTCTAAGTTATGAACATTCGGGTCACTTTCTGTCACAACTGTTCTGAGCTCTGTTTTCTCAGAGTGACAGTCTCTTTCTTAGGTGGGCATCTGCGGGCGCACTGGCAGCGGGAAGTCATCCTTATCTCTGGCCTTCTTCAGAATGGTTGATATATTTGATGGTGAGTCGTTTGCTAAGGTTTTAAATTAGGCACATAGTGCTTTCATTTACAAAACATATTTTTTTTGGTTTTGTACCTAATCAATGTACCTAATTCTGAAAAAAAAAAAACCAACTATTTATAAGGACTTTCTGACCTGCACATGGTTCAAGGTGGGTATTCCAAATAAACAGCTTAGAGATAAAGAAAGAACATAGAACTGGGAAAATAAAATAGTTCTCAAGTCAGAAGAATGCTGGTAAACTGTTCTAATAAACTTAGAAGAACAAGGTCACTTGCTTTGAATAGCAGTGAGTGTAGGTGGCTATTCAAGAAATAGAAGAAAAGAACATTGGCTTGCTTCCCTCGGACTGAAAATAAATCTTTTTCTATCCAAGGAAGAAATTTCAAATTCAATACGTAATATACATTTAAATGCAAGCCTGTGATTCTTCCAATCATTCATTTAATAACATCATATAATGATACTGAATGTTTTTTTGAGGAAACAATATTTTCTGCTAAGTCTTAACCTGTATTAACAGCATACAAAAATGTTTACTCAGCAGGTGTGACATTCATGGTCATGATCCCTGTACTCTGGGAGGCTGATGCAAGAGGGTAATGGGTTAAAGCCGAGCTGGGAGGGCTGGTGAGATAGCTCAGCAGACTAAAGCACCTGCTTAGGCAAACACAGGTGGTTTGGTCCCGGCACCGCATGCCAAGCCAGCTCTGTCCCCAGGAGGGATGAGTGGGCCTGAGTTGGGAAATAGAGGTGCATGCCTGTAATATCAGCACTGGGGAGGCTGGAAGCAGGAGGATCACCATGAGTCCGAACTGCATAGTGAGACCCTGTAGCAAAAAAATACATTAAAAAGGAATGAATGAATGAATGAATGAATGAATGAATGAATAAATAAATAAAAGCCCAGCTGGGCAATATAGTGACTTAATGAAATTCTGCCTCAAGGTTTTGAGAGGGAGAAAGCCTGGGAAATAGCTTAGGGTGAAAGCCATAGGTGAAATTTCAATTGACGCATACACAATTATTAAAAATTCATTTGTTCATAAAAATATCCTAAAATAATTTAATCTTAGTTGCAGAAAATAGGCCACATTAGTCGGTCTACCAAGTGGCCTATAAATGGGTCAGTACATATTATTGTAAATGGAAGGAGATTCCACAATGAACCCTTGGCTCAAAGAAAGGCTCACTGTTATTCTACATAATGGTTTCAATGATCCTTACAGTATTTTTCATGTGCATTGTACTTAATAAACATTATTAATTTAATTTAGTTTGCTTTATTTAACTTAATCTACATGACATCTTTGTAAGAGGCAAAGTTCAGTTTATGCACAACAAAACTCTGTTAGGGAACTTGGGGTAAGGCTTATATTCAAAGAGAAGATAAGCATCCTTTGCTGGCTTAGTGGTTTGCTCTTTCTAAGGCTGGGTACAATATACAGGAATTTTAAGGACTTTCAGACAGATTGGTGTCATAAGACAATTGTGTGATCCAGTGACAATAGACTGGTGCTTTTCACCAAAAACTGCAATGACACACCATAACAGTTTACCTAATTTTTGCGAGTCTATAAGTAGGATTTCAGGTCCACTCTCAACTATCGTAGACTTGTTTCCTTCTTAATAGTGTTAGACTATTAATATTTCAATAGATAATATATTATCCCTGAGGAACACGATTTAGTCTAATCACCCTTGCCTGCTCTTAAAAGTAAACTATCTGGTAAGTGGGCTGCAGCTGCTGTTGAGCCCATATTTTGCAGGGTAATATTACCTCTGAAAAAGTGAGATGATAAAGCTAATTTATCAAGTTGAGAAAAGAACATCAAGATTACATTATTTTCTACATCTGCATACAGGAGGGGAAAATTTAGTAAACCTTGATGTCTATGTCACAGAATTTGCGTTCCTCTAATGCATGTTATTATTCAAACAGTACAGAAATGAGTGACACAAAAAGCTTCATCTCCAAGATGCTTATATTCTGTTGGAGGGGAGACAATTAAAAGCATAATGAAATTAACAAAGAAAATAAGATTTTGATAAATCCCATGAAGAAAAATAAATCAAGGAAAGGGGGTAAAGGAATAATAGGAAAGAAACTCAAAAGAGATGGTTGGTTTTTTTATTATGTATTTAGTACAGGGTCTCACTACACAGCTTGGACTCCTAGTGACCCTCCTGTTTTCAGCCTCCCAAGTGCTGGGATTACAGGCATGCACCACCATGCCCAGTCTCAGTGGCTGTCTCAGTGTGCTTGGGGATGGGGCAGGTGCGGCATGTGGTACCAGTGATCAACCCCCAGGTCCCTACACTTGAAGTATTTTTTTATTTGTATGTCCACACAAATTGAATCCACTGAAAATTCTTTTTCAAGAAATACATAAGAAAAAAAAGGAAATACAAAATTCCTAGAAGAAATATATACTATTAAAATCAATAATGGAAAGCTGTATAGCCTATATTTCAACTCAGAATTATCAAAAGGGTTTTGCTTTATTTAGTTTTATGTTGGTGTTAGAGATCAAACCCCTGAAAAATAAAAAGAGATCAAATCCAGAGCCTCAAGGAAAAAAATATTTAATAGGTAAGCGAGTTAAAATTTTACTTGTGAGTTTACTCCATGGTTATCATTTTTTGTTTTTCCTCAACAGGAAAGATTGTCATTGATGGAATAGACATCTCTAAACTACCACTGCACACACTCCGTTCTAGATTGTCAATCATTCTACAGGATCCAATACTGTTCAGTGGTTCTATTAGGTAGGTGACACATGCAGCATCACTGTGTCCCTCAGGATTTACCTCTTTGGCTCATAGGAAAATTTTATCCTGCAAGTTGTTTGCCAGATAGATGTGAAATAACCATATCAAGATGATAAAAGTAAATATGCTGTCCAACAATTTGGACCAGAAATTGTAGAGATGGCAAATGAACCTACAAAGCCAATCTTTTATATTTCCAAGAGTTCCTCTCTTTCATTTTGCCAAATTGAAATCCATTTTGATTTCTGTACCTTGGAGCGATGGTTCTTGGTAAACATTTCTGAGACTTCTCCCTACAAATATCCTGCCTAACTTTTGTGTTTGACCTGGCTCAACAGATATTCTGAGCTTAGTTACTTTCCTCTCCTTTCTCCATACTCCTAAAAATTTTGGTTTCAGCCAAAATTTGCTTTGACAAATCTGCTACATTCTCTATGCCTGGTTCCTGATAGTGCACAAAAAGAAATTGCAGCCATCTATTATTTCCTGGTGCTTTAAATGTATGTTTGATTCAATTATTGAGGCATTGTTTTGGTATGCACACTATTGTTATTTGCATTTATAGATGAGTATTTTGCGAATGAATAATTTTCAAAGACATTGTAATGCCCAAGTTCACAAACCTATGAAATAGCGGTGGTGGAATTGTAACCAGTTCATGGGATTCCAAAGTCCGTAACTAAATATTCTGCACTAAATCATGTCTCACAGTCCATCCACCTTTTTCTTTCTCATTCCCCTCCTCCAGCCACAGAATTACAAAGAACTGGGTGCCACTGCCATTTAATAATTATTCTTTATCTTGAGAAAATGTGTGCAAGATTGCTCAATATTACCTGTAAAATTATTGTACTTACAAGTTCTGGATGGGCCAAGTTATTTAGCAATCTTATGGTCAATTTCTATCCCACTGTGTATTTATTATGAATGCTGCTGCTGTGGTTGGCACAGTACGGCTTATCTAAAATCATATCTGTTTCCATGTTGATTTATGGTTTTTTTGTTTGTTGTTGTTGTTTTTTTGCGGAACCGGGGATTGAACTCAGGCCCTTGCACTTGCCAGGCAAGTGCTTATTCTACTGAGCTATCTCCCTGACCCCTCCTATGTTGATTTATGTATTTAGCATCAATTCTGAAGGAAAATTTTGCTAGAAAGTATTCAGGTTATGCTGAGCATAGTACGAAATGGAGTAATTCTGGTAACAAATGAGATATTCTGTTATATATATGAATTTACCTAACAATATCATTTAAAAAGCCCTTTGGGTAACACTGCTGTCATTCATTGACTCATCCAGCATGAAGCCAGTGCTAGCTCTGTTCTAGGTGCTGAATGCAAAGGGGTAACCAAAGTGACCAGAATCTAACATTTTAAGGAAAGAAGGCCAATAAGCACATACACATAAAGCCTCTCGATTTTTATTTCATCTATTGTATTTTAATTTACTGATTAACTGATTTTTCCCCTACAGATTTAATTTAGATCCAGAGTGTAAATGCACAGATGACAGACTCTGGGAAGCTCTAGAAATTGCCCAGCTGAAGAATATGGTCAAATCGCTACCTGGAGGTCTAGGTATCATTTCTAAATAGTGCCTTTACTTTGTATTTACACAATTAATCCTGTCTGTCTGTCTCTGTCTCTGTCTCTGTCTCTCTCCCCCCTCCCCTCCCCTTCCCCCTTCTTCCTTGGTTGTCC